TTTCCGTTTTGGGCACTTTTCCGTGCTAATATGCTAATTTTTTTCCGTTTTGGGCACTTTTCCGTGCTAATATGCTAATTTTTTTCCGTTTTGGACACTTTTCCGTGCCAATATGCTAATATTTTTCCGTTTTGGGCACTTTTCCGTGCCAATATGCTAATTTTTTCCGTTTTGGGCACTTTTCCGTGCTAATATGCTAATCTTTTCCGTTTTGGACACTTTTCCGTGCCAATATGCTAATTTTTTTCCGTTTTGGGCACTTTTCCGTGCCAATATGCTAATTTTTTTCCGTTTTGGGCACTTTTCCGTGCTAATATGCTAATTTTTTTCCGTTTTGGGCACTTTTCCGTGCTAATATGCTAATCTTTTCCGTTTTGGACACTTTTCCGTGCTAATATGCTAATTTTTTCCGTTTTGGGCACTTTTCTATGCCAATATGCTAATTTTTTTCCGTTTTGGGCACTTTTCCGTGCTAATATGCTAATTTTTTTCCGTTTTGGGCACTTTTCCGTGCTAATATGCTAATTTTTTTCCGTTTTGGGCACTTTTCCGTGCTAATATGCTAATTTTTTTCCGTTTTGGACACTTTTCCGTGCCAATATGCTAATTTTTTTCCGTTTTGGGCACTTTTCCGTGCTAATATGCTAATCTTTTCCGTTTTGGACACTTTTCCGTGCCAATATGCTAATTTTTTTCCGTTTTGGGCACTTTTCCGTGCTAATATGCTAATTTTTTTCCCTTTTGGGCACTTTTCCGTGCTAATATGCTAATTTTTTCCGTTTTGGGCACTTTTCCGTGCTAATATGCTAATTTTTTTCCGTTTTGGACACTTTTCCGTGCCAATATGCTAATTTTTAAAGTGCCTGAAAATGAAAGAAAAGTAAAGGCTATAGCCTTACTTTTTTTATCGGTTTTTGCACCCTTTTCAAGAATGAAAAAAGTGCCTGAGAATGAACGAAAAGTAAAGGCTATAGCCTTACTTTTTTGTCGTTTTTGCACCCTTTTCAAGAATGAAAAAAGTGGTCGAAAATGGATGAAATGTTAAGTGTTCAGCCTTGTTTGGATGGGCAAGTTGGACTGAATTCCAAGCTCACTTTTGTTATATGTTAAAATGGAAAAATTGGCTAAAAAGGTAGGAAAAAGTTAAGGGCTTGACTGTCAAGCTCATGATAGAGACAGTTGATTGTAGAACTGTTTGATGTGTATGACAACAAGTGTCTATCAATATCATTTTCAATTGTATTTTTAAACAATTTCTAAATTGGAGATATATTAAGTATAAAATTCCTGATTGCGTAGTGTTTCTAAAATAATCTTTTTACAATGTTATGAAACCAGTGGCGTAACAGAGGGAGGGGGTGCCCTTAGGCATATTTCGTGTGGGTGCCCCTGCTGACCGTTGTCGTTGTTTGACAACACATTAACTTTTGTTCTATTTGAGATGGAATTAAAAAATCAGCTACGGTTGTCGATGGAGGCTTTATTATTTAGCATTATCCCATCAATTCTTAACCTGCAATTTTTTACGTTTTCTAATTTTCTGGGCGATAGGCTGTGACTGATGGGCGCCCCTAACTGTCGGGGCCCTTAGTTTTTGAACTAACCCTACCTAATGAGTGTTACGCCACTGTATGGAACATAAAATAAGAACAAGTGAGCAACCAACCATAGGCATCAGCAGTTCTTTAATACGTCAATGATTTTCTCTATTGCTTGTCCTGTGGTACCACTCTAAAAATATGAAATAATCTGTACTTCATATGTGGGTTCTGTTCTATAACCAGTAGAGTTTCGAGGCACCAGTGGTGGAAATCTGGTGGGGCAGAGGGCGACCGCCCATCCCCCCCCCACCTCAAAGAAAATTGAGAAATTTTCGGAAATTTTGAGCTAAAAGAGGGCTAAAAACAGTCTTATCGAGTGCAAAGTTTTGTCGAAAATTTAGGAGGCTTTGCCCGGCCCCCACCGGAAAAAGTGAATTTCCACAGTGAAAGTCCCCCACCCCCCGCAGCACAAGTTGCCCCCCACCCCACCCCGCCCTATGTGGAATGCCCTAGTGTCCACCACTAGTTTAACATTAGAATTAGAATTGTATTTATAACTAACTCAACAGAATGAAAAATGAACGAAATAAGAATAAAACTTACGGTAAGTTTCATGAATCCTAGAAAGGTCTTTAATGTGTTGATAAGTACATCAAAATTATTCTCAGGTAGTAATTGTCGAATAAGGTTTTGATTGGCCTAAAATTAAAGTTGCACAAAAATAAGTATGATCTAAAAGACCTTCTGTCTAATGCCAGACAATTTCATCAAGCAGAGTGTGTACCATGGTCAGGGTCTTAGCCAGCCTACCGTCCAGCCGTCTTTTGGACGGCCATTTTCAAATTTGGACGGCCTTCTAAAAAAGACGGCTTTTGGGCGGTAAACATAAACATTGCTCACTTGCAAGCTGCCAAATCTGCCGAACCAAAGATTCCTAGGCCTAGCTGCCAAAAACCGTAGAATATAACTATATAAGATAATTAGTTGCTCTTCACTCACACTATAGCTTATCAAAGCTACAAGTATTGTATTTATAGCATGAAAGTGACAACATAATATCAATCATAAGATTAATATATTGGCAGATTTACTTAAACTGTACTACTGTAGTCAGTGTAATGAGTAGTCACATAGTCTGAATAATTGAATATATTATTAGTTTTTTGAGCGATTCTCAAGTGCGGTCACCGATTACTCCCAGCATTCGGAAATAATTACATTGAATTACTGGTGCATGAAGTGGTGCCATGGTTCCATATGGTAAAATATGGGTGTCATAAATGAAATTTCAAATTTGGACACCCAAGTTGCAAATCCTGGCTAAGACCCTGACCATGGTAATCATGGGTTAATCCAAACATGTGCAGATCTGCATAAGAAACAGATCCCATGGCATGCCACATTTTGTCTAGTTAAATTAGGGACCGGTCATAAAGTAAAAGGGGGTGGGCTGGGAAAAATAGGGGGTGGGTCACTATTTTTGAGCACGGTTGAAGGGGTGGGTCATCGAAAGTTAAGCGCAATCATAAGGGTGGGCCATGTAAAAATATGCAGAAGATTGGGCCCCAGTCATTTTTTTGTGTTCAAAATTTCCGCGCAAAGAACAAGATATCTGTTTTTTTGGGCTAAGTACCGAAATTTGGTATGAAAAATTAAGATAAAGTCCTTGGAAAGCAATTGCAACGTACTTGTCCGGAAAATTTTTTTACCTAAAAAAGTTGTCGACGGGGGGGAGGTTATTGTCCGAAAAAATTCTTTTCCGGACAAAAATTGGAAAAGGGGTGGGTCATAATTTTTCAGCACCAATTTAAGGGTGGGCTACAAATTTTCGTGCAGCTATTAAGGGGTGGGCTACCAAAAGTGCAGACACCAAATATATGATTTTCCCAGCCCACCCCCCCCCCTTTTACTTTATGACCGGTCCCTTAACCCATTGAGTGGCATCACTCTCCCGTTGACAAGTAAAATCATCTTGTGTTAGACAGAGTAAAATACTAAAATAGGGCACGCCTTAGCACATAATAAAAAATGAAAAATAAACATACATTATTATCTTTGGCTAGACAACCCAAAAGAAGTGCAACATATGATGCAACCATGCTGTCCTCCATATGTTTACCAGCTTTTTGGAGAGCTGAAATAATAGAGTAAAAACCAAACTTTAGAAACAATAAGCATTTGATAAAATTAAGCAGCATTTGAATCATAAACAGATTTTGTGTGGGGAATGCAGGGGATGGACAATACTCGCTCACCAATCCCCTTGAATTTTTGGCGCCTCCCAGAAAAAATCTGTCAACGGTTTCAATTAGGTCTAATTCTCAACAACAGTGACTAACCTTCGCCAATCTCGTCTTCAAGAGATTTTTCTTCTTTATTTTCATCATCTGTTGTTGATTTTTCCAACACCTCTGGTTCTTCTGTTCTCGTCACATCTATATCTTCTCCACACACCCAGCCAAGGCCATCTTGCGTGGGTTTTAATTCGTCACTTTGTCCATCTGGGAAACATATTTTAAATTTATTCACTAGAGAGCTCAATCTGTTTTATACTTTAACCCTTCAAGTGGCAAAGTGTCAGGACACTGGCTATCATGTCAGACAATTTTACTCGTCAAGGTGAGAGTGCTGCCACTTAATGAATCAATGTACAAAACATGAGTTTGTCGGTTAATCAAGTCAAATCCGAGTCCGAGTCAAATCCGAGCCCGAGTCAAATGTCCGAGTCATTGTTTAATCGATGGTCTTTGCAGTTCAATGACTTAGTACCCTAATCCTAACCATAATCCCACTCCTAACTTACCCTAACCCTATTCAACTGTGAATTTTATTCAATTTCGGAGTTTGTCGGTTACTGACCGACTCAAATCTGAATTCGAGTCAAATGTCCGAGTCACTGTTTAACTGTCTTTGTCGATAAAATGAGTTAGTACCCTAACCCTAAACCTAACCCTATTCGACTGTGAATTTTCTTCACTTTCGTCCTTTTTTTTTACGCGACTCGGCCGTTTGACTCAGACTCGGGACTGACTCAGACTTGGATTTGACTCGGCAAATGGATTTACTCTACAAAACATACTTGTTAATTCACAGTTCATTGCCTCGCTGTCTCTAGCGGCCTGTGCACGTAGTTGAAAGAGATTAACTAGGGCCTCGACAGCTGGAACATCTTTTCCCCTTTCAGTTTTCTCGCTCTCCTTGGAATCTTTACAGCTCTGTGAGTCTTCATAGGATAATCGAGTCTTGACCACAACCAATGAGGCAATATTTTGTTTACTGTGTTCCATTAGATTAATCAAGAGTCCCAATGCCTGTGAAGTAACAATTATGATTAGAATACAACTAATTCAATAAATTTCACTTATTCCCATTCTGAGTGCCAGTCCCCTTGACAAGTAAAATTGCTGCTGTTAGACAGAGTTAAATAAAAAAGTAGGCTGCATAAGGGCATAATTGAACTTAATGGGTTAATATACATCAATTTGACAGAGTCTAACGCAATCTTAAAATAACATGTATATAACATGTGCTCTGATTGGCTGAAACCCATGTTTGGATCAGGCCACCCAAACATGGAAGACTATCGTGTTGTTGTTCTTTTATGAAACAATTACTTTTTGGTTTCATATATAAATATTAATTAATAATATAATTATTAATTAATATTTATATATGAAATATTAATATTTATATATTAACATTTATATCATATATAAATATTAATTATATATAATTATTTTTTGGTTTCAAAATTACTTTTTGGTTTCATATATTGCTCGAGTTAAGAAAAGCGTGCAAAATCACTCGCCTTCGGCTCGTGTTTTGCTCTCTTTTCTTAACTTTTGGATCAGGCCATCCAAACACGGAAACCATAAAGTACGGTAATTGTGTATTACTTTACTCTGTCTAAAGCCTATATGAGGCAAGGTTTAGGATTCGGATATTGCCACAGTGTTTCTGTAGCAAAAATTGAATCCTAAACCTTGCCAGGTATACTAAAGCCAGACAATTTTCCTGAACAAGTGGAGGGTCAATTAAGCAAACAGCAATGGATCTATAGGCATACATGACAATTAGAACATCGCTTTGCAAACAAAACAAAACTTCACTTGCCACTTATCAAAATACTGTCAAAAAACTGTCTCCTCTTGTTAAAATTAAATAATATTTAACAAGAGTGGGTTGTAGTGAAGTAGTTGTAGTTCGCTACTGTAGCGAACTACAATTTTCAAGTAGCCAGTAGTTTTTGACTACTTTTTTTAAACAGTAGTTGTAGTTATAGCGAACTACATTTTGCCTAAAAGTAGCCAAGTAGTTGACTACTTTTCAAACAGCGAATCGCTATTCGCTACTTTTTAAAATTGTTAGCAACTTGATAGAATAGCATGATATTGAGACATGGTTTGCTTAAAATCAACACTCGATAGTCAATTTGCACTTCTGAACACTGTAGTGCTTACAAAAATGTTGCTTTGTGTTTACTGTTGCTACTCGTAAGTCGATTTGTTATAGATAGATTACATTACAGCCTGAGTTAGTGGATGCTCCAAATATAGTAAAACTAAAAAATATAGTGTAGCAAAATAGCGAAATAGTTCGCTACATTTTATAAGCAGTAGCTGCAGTCAGTAGCGAACTACCTTTGTTCAAAAGTAGCAGTAGTTGTAGCTGACTACATATTTTTGAAGTAGCTGTAGTTATAGCAAACTACAAAAAATTTTGTAGTCAACCCATCCTTGATATTTAAACTTACCAAAACTAGAATATCAAATTGTTCCTCCATTGAGACAAACTGTGGCACCTGGAAAGTAAACATATCTAAATCAATCAACACTCTATTTCACCACAGATAGTATCCGTGTATTTATAGCTATGACATACTAAGTGGGAGGAGCTAGCCAAAAATAGATTTCAAAACCAAAAGTATTGTTGATGTGCTCTGGTTCATGTGTGTGTATTCAATTACATTTAATTACGATTAGCATTTCTATAGCGCAAATTTACTGTATATGTGGATATGATGAAATCAGGTATTATACGCTTACCTAATTACATACATAGTCTAGATTATTTTATTTATGCAGCAGCCTTCAATTTTTAAAACAAAGCAAGGATGTCCTGCATAACAAAGGGATTATAAATAGTATGTTGTATTTCACTCCTAACTTGATTAATTATTGGCAGACAGTTTTTCAAGTTCGCACATATTTTGGATGCGCCGTAGAACCGTGACACTGCCCCTTTAACTGTGTTTATCCTAACCCACTTTCCCTGTGGAGAAAACACACGACTTTCGGGACAGCGTTGACTGACTCTTTTCACATGAGTCCGCAACAAGAATTGAACCCACCAACTCAGAGCTGTAAGGTTCCTCTGACTAGGGGTGCACCGGAACTTGGTTCCGGCCGGTTAGTTCTGGCCGGAACCCCGATTTTTTAGAGTCCCAGTTCCGGCCGGAACTAATATAAAAAGAATGGCCGGAACCGGAACTTTGTCGTTTTCTGAGAGATAGACACAAAAACGTTTGATATTCTAACTAAAGGTCACAGTAAGAAAAAATTTGGACTACGGAAGGGAAATGTACACTATTAACACTTCATTATGACGTTTAACGTTTGTCAATCTTTTTATTCTAACATTTGTGAGCTCTCTCCTTGATGACTTGAAGTGTCTCCTGTCTGGCAGCGGACAAAGCGGACATATGACTATATATGGCTTAATAAATTAGTTCCGGTTTAACTTTTTTCCAGTTCCGGTCAGATCCGGTTCCAGCCGGAACTTAAAAAACTGGTTCCGGTGCACCCCTACCTCTGACAATTAAAATGACAACAAATTGAAGTGGCAAAGTTTCTGCCATGCATGGTTTACTCTGCCATCGTTTGGGTATTTCCACATTCATGTCACAGCTGTATGTTTCTTTCCTCCCCTGCCTAGCCCTCTCCCCGTAATTTTTCTACATAGTATTTACTTCAATGTTATTAATACCTGCAAAACACATAACAACAACGTTGAAATCAGTCTATCTTGCTGACCAATTGTTTCACTCTCACAATCTATAAAAAATTGAAATTACATTCCATATGTCTTGCATAACTCACACCCATCATGGACTACTTTCAAAAATTAAAAATTTCCTCCTAAAATACTGCAAATGTAACATGATAACTTACCATTGTCATGGGTTAGATTCAGAAACACACGCAGTATGCTCTTGACACAGTCCAGTATGATTTTAAAGAAACAGCATTCCAGGCCAGGCTGATCTTCAGTAATAGCGTGAATACAAACTCTTAATAACCTAAAAAGGAAAGATATTAACCAACTGCAATGTGCCGAAATGCACTTGACTTTCTCTAAATTTAAAACCACAAAATTCTGCTCAACAAGGGGAAAGTTTATAAAAGATGGCCCATATATACATATTGGATCAACAGTTCAGAAGAAAAGGTCCTCAGCAATATGTCCGCTTAAAAGGGATGTCTGCCTAATGGGGGTTGCAATAGCAAGAATAGCAGGATGTAACAGTACACATAACTAATTTTAGCTTATTTAAATTCATTAATTACAGCATATTTGTCTGCTTAAAGAGGTTATTCGGCTCATCGGGAGCTCAAGCCTTTTTAATAGAGGGATCCGCTTAATAGGTGTAAGTACGTACGATAATAGCATTTTATTGAAGAAATAACTGTAACCTCTATGTGTCCACCTTATGAGGGATATCCACTTAATAGGGGTTCAACTAGGGATATCCACTTAATGGGGGTTCAACTGTAGTTAATTTTATACATATATAGTAAGATATACATACCTGGACAAAGCAACAACCAAGAAAGACTTTCTGCACGAGACGAGATAAATTTGATTCTCTCGATTTTGAAATGTCACCTATGGAGGCAATAACAAGAATTTTTGAGAATATTTAAATGTCATATTCAAAAATGTTGGGAACCAACCATTCACTTATCAGCCAAACTTACATTTTCTATAAGTTTCAAACATCGTTTAATGCTTTCTATTCCTTTCTCATGCTGTGCTAGTTCTGCACCATTGTCTTTGATATCCACAACTGATGTTAAGACTAAAATTATAACATATCAATGCATAATTAGATAATTATTTAATTTTTCAGGGTACGAATTAAGGTGTCAAAACAGCTTCGCAAAAATTTTGGTAAATAAATACTGCCTATTTCAAAACATCCTCAGAAATACCGTATGAAAAAGTAGTTACATATTATTCTGACATTGCAGAGTACAACAAAATTCATTGTCTCGAACAAATTCGAATCCCGCTTGAGACAACGAACTTTTCGTTGTACTCTGCAGTGTCTTGCTGTACTGGTTATTACTATATTCAGCTAGCATATTAAAATGCAAGACAGGTCATTTTGTTAAAAATGTTAGTTATAAATTAAGCAACAAGCAATACTTAATTTGTGTGTTCACAAATAATTTTCAAAAATAATTACTAGTAACAAGGCCACCAATGTTCACAAAAAAACCCCGTTTAACCTTTATGTAAACGTTTCTCATATCTGCGCGTACCCAAGGAAGTCTAAGTAAAATCTAAACTGATTTAAATATTACTTACAATAGGAAACAATTGAATGAATAAGGCCGAAATATATGTGTCCTGTTTTCTTGTGAACTGTCAAAACATTCAGAAATGCGATTACATTCCTAGGCTACGCCCGTGCGCCAATTACTGGCATTTTGACAAACTGCAAACCATTTTACTTTTAGGCGTAAAGTAAACATCCGGTTTGTAGTATTTAGCCGCCCTTAATATTAACCGTGATTGATTACAGCATAAATTGGGATTGTATGACTGCAACCTGACTACAAAACAAAAATCAAAGCCTCTTCAAAACAATATAAACTGCAGACAAACAAACTAAAAGCAAAAACAGCGCGTTCGGCTCTCTCATATTCATGTTCGTTATGTTTATGCAATATATTTCCAAAATTTTCACTTCGCATTTTCCAGTTTGCCAAGCAATTTCGCTTCGCAAAATGTACAGATGCTTCGCAAATTGCGAAGTGCGAGCCGTTAATTCGTACCCTGTTTTTACATGCAGAACGTACTACAGTATAATTATTCAGTATCAATAAAATTGTTAATTTAAAAATGTATAGTTAAAAGCAATGAGTAAAATAACTTTTACCTAAATCAACAATATAATCCAATCCTCCCGACTTTCTCATCTCTTCTTTGAACCATTCCCCAGTTCTTTGAGATGTCAATGATAACAATGATTCACGAGCTAGCGTTGTTGACTGAAATAGAGATGATCACATGATCAATTCCAGATGATTGTCAAGGGAAGAGTGGTGAGCACCAGGGCTGCAAATTACTGTCGGACATCGGACAATGTCCGACTAAATTTGGCAAATGTCCGAGCAAAAGTAATTTTGATCGGACATCAGTCCGATCACAAAAAAAAATTGTCACATTATACATTTTTTTGCTGTGACAAAATCCGATTGCAAATTGACTCAATTTGCATTTTGCAATAAAATTTACGAGGCATTCTAGCGTTTTACTTAACGTTGCGCCGGAATGGCTACACATACTTGTCTCGTGACATAGATATCTTGTGACGTATATATTTCCGACCAAGTTTAGTGGTGTTGGTTTTTGTCCGACCAAATTCAAGTTATGTCCAACCAAAATTAAAAATGGTCGGACAAATGTCCCGTCAAGTCAAAGATTTATTTGCAGCCCTGGAGCACTGTGCAATGAATTAGTTAACCCATTAATGTGCATTGCACCCTGATACACCCTACTCCAGGGATGGATTTACTGGGGTTTGTGTGCTATGAGGGTTGTGTGCAGGGGAGTATGCAGGGATGTGTGCAGGGGGTGACGCTTCATGAAAGTTGAGTTAGGATAAACACATTTAAGAAACTAATATCACAATTGTTGTAAAGATAAACTGGAAGTGATGCTTGCCATATAATAAATATATATAATGCTCAGAACATACTGTATCACATTCAACACAAAGACATGTTGTAATTAATGTACTCACTGATAAATTCTCCATATCCAAGAACATTGTATGTGATTCTGGCAGTCGAGTAAGTATTTGCCTAAAAAATGTAGCATAGTTATGAACTCTTACGAAATTAATAAAGACTTTTCACAATTATTTTCCTTTTGCAGAATCAGCATGCAGATGCTAGCTGTGCCTTAACCTTCTCTATATTTTTGATAACAATAAACTTAAAAATATTTTACCAACTGTACTGGATAGCACTACACTATCAATTAAAAAAATCTTTCAGGAATATCCCAGTGCTACTCTTATCACATGTGATAGAGGTGACAATATAATTATATAATAATGTTAAGAAATCAAGTGATTTCATGGTCAAGAGTCATGATGATTTGATTTTTATTAGAAGACATGCAGATGCACAGAATTACATCACATGTGACAAGGTAGCCTCGCCTCGGGGGCTTGTGAGCCACTTTTTTGTTCTTCACATTATGACGTCATACTGTGTACATATCTAATATTGCATGTCTATAACTGAGACAACGGCAAAATCTTATCTATTTGTCAGACAACTGCATATGGCAGGAATCGATCCTAGATCACAGGGGTGCCTAACCTAATGAGCTACACGGTTAAAAACGCACAGGTTGTTCCAAGTTGATATAGACAGGCGTGAACAATGTTGTGCGGCCAACTATGAACAAGTTGTCAACCATGTTGTTCCAAGTTGT